GTTCGGAAAATAGCATTTCGTTGGGACGTGGTGGGTTGCCGAGGTGCTAATAGTAGCCGTTCTAAAATGCAGACGACGGCTTCTCCTTCATCTGGTGTAAGTTCTTCAAAAACATCATCATTGGTATCCGGATTGTATTCTACTCCCTCCTCATTGTCTCCTTCCACAATTTGAAGTTGTGGCCTTGTCGGGCACTCATTCGACTTATGGCCAGGCTGAAAGCATCGGAAACACTTCAGCGTTGTTGGCTTGGCATAAGGATTGTTCCGAGGAGGTGGCCGAGGTCTAGCTGCAGTCTGGCTATCAGAAGCGGGGGTTGGCTGAGAATTAGTTGCCGAAACTGGTGACATTAACTTAGGCTGTGAATACTGGCGGGACTCAGTGGATGGATCAACCAATTGGCGTCTGTTGGAGTAATTCTTGGACTGTTTAGACAATTGTAGCTCGGCCTTCAGTGCGAAATTCACTGCCTGTGAAAGGGTCCATAACGAATTTAACTGCAACTTATCCTGTAACGATTCCTTCAACCCTCCCGTGTAACGGGCAACCAACTGATTGTCTGATTCCCGCAAATTATTCCTCGCACTTAGTCTGTAGAATTCTTCTGTGTATCCACTAACGGATCGAGCGCCCTGTACACAATGCTGATATTGAAGATACAGCATTTGTTCATAGTCCGTAGGGAGGAAATGACCCCTCATCATTTGCTTCATACGGTACCAATTCCGCACTGGACCCTTTCCCTCCCGTTGTCGGTTCTGTTGTAATTGCATCCACCAAGCGCTGGCACCCCCTTTTAATCGGCAGGCAACATACTTCACTTGTTTTTCGGGTGGTATTTCCATATAATCAAAGAAGGTTTCGACGGCTCTCTCCCAGTCGAGATAGTCTTCGATGTGGAGTCGCCCTTCAAAAAACGGGATATCAAGTTTAACTCGAAACTCACCATGGTGGTTGGAATGTCTGTCTCTCGCCGGTCGGGCTCCCAATCTTTCCCCGAAACCGCGGTCGGTGTGTTCAAATGGTTCGAATCCTCCCTGTAGTCCATCATCAGCATCCGAATCTGAATAATCGGAGTACGCTGCAGGAATTCTCCTCGGCATTCTTTCGGCAGTCATCCGATTGCGCCGCTCAAGAGAAACGTCTTCACGGTCGTTGCGCGGAATATCAGTGGGTACGCCACTGCGCTGCCGCAATGCTTGGATCTCCCTTTTTGTTTCTACGGTGAACCGCCTAAACTCTGCAGCGAGTTCAGCTACCTCTCTGGAGATGCTGTTTACTGCGGTTCGCCAATCATCTGAGCTCCGATCGTCGTCAGGAGCGGCTCTGCGGCTGGACTCGGCCATCACGGTGCCTGTTCGCGCTTGGCTCTGATACCAGTTGGTGTGGAACCTGATCGGAAAACCTCCGCGAAACCTGCAACCGAAGACCCTGCTTCCAAAGGAATACGCAATGGAACAGTAACGATAGCTTAATTTAGGGAGAGATTATTAGGAAAATCACCCATTTCCGGCGGTTTTTCGACGGTTTTGAAGTTTCCAGAGGTAAAAATTCCGCCAATAAAATAGCGCAGAAAATAAATTCCGATATTTTTTCGGCGATAAAATTATTTCAACGGTGGCGGTCTTAACACCGGTCAAAATTAATAAAAAAAATACTAGTGTGCCACTTGCCCCCCGACCGTTACTAGCTCTTGCACTACACGCATGGTGTTAGCGTCCCACGTCTCCGCATCCACGGGCTGCCGGTGACGCGCTCCCGTCGTGCGTGCCAGTGACGCACTCCCCGTCCCGCCCCCGCTGCTGTTCTGCCGCTCCGCGCGCGCGTCTGCTGTGAGGTCAAACAGTGGTTAGTTGGGAGAAATTCAGGCAACACGATGAATTCTAAATGTGTAATATCGTTTTTATTATCAATATGGTTTTATTTAAACTATATTCTGACCGTATAATATAAATTTTTATTATAAAAAATAGGAATCTATTAATTTAAAATAAAAAA